CGGGCAACAGAGGAAGATTCTGTCTGCGCCCCCCCAAAAAATTGGAGAAATCAAAAAAGTCATATGGTAGCAAGACTATGTGAAAGTAAAGAAGGTAGTCGGCATGGAGAAATGTTCAGCCAGATTCCAAATCTTAATTTGAACAAGAAAATTCCTACTGGAATAAAGCCGTGTAAAAACAGTGTGTGTAGAAACAGGTGCGTCTTCACCTGCCATTCTTCCCTTTGTGGACACATCGTACCTAATTCTAGACACAAATCATGACTGTGAGGAAGGCAGAGAGAAGACATATACATGTAAACAATGTGGAAAAGCCTTCATTTCTCACCAGTGTTCAAGGACACATGATAACACACACTGGAGGTTCATATTATAAATGTTCAGTATGTGGAAAGCCTTTGATTTTCGCAATTTGTTGCAAATGCATCAGAGAACTCACACTGAAGAGAACCACTGTAAATGCAATCAATGTGGGAAGCTTTCAGTTTTTCCAGGTCCTGTCAAATATGTGAAAGAATTCACACTGGCAAAAGACCCTATAAATATAGGGAATGTAGGAAAAGATCCGCTTTTCCTTTCTCTCTTAAATACATGAATGTATTCACACTGGAGAAAAATTCTATAAGTGTAAGAAATGTGGCAAAGCCTTCAGATATTTCCATTCCCTTTATAACCATGAAAGATCTCATACTGTAGCAAAACCCTATCAATATAAGGAATGTGTTAAGGCTTTGCTTATTCCAGCCACCCTCATAATCATAATTAAACTCACTCTAGGGAGAAACTCTATGAATGTAATCAATGTGGTAAAGCCTTCAGATATTCCAGTTCCCTCCATAACCATAAAAGAATTCACACTAGTGTGAAACCAAACAATATAAGAAATGTGGTAAAGGCTTCACTCATTCTAGTCACCTGCATAATCATGAAACAACTCATACTGGAGAGAAACTCTATGAATGTAGGGAATATAGGAAAGCATTTGCCTTTCCATGTTCTCCTAGAAGACATTAAAGTATTCACACTGGAGGAAAACCCAGTGTGTGTAAGAAACGTGGTAAAGTATTCACTCTTCCTTGTTCCCTTTAACTACATGAAAGAACTCATACTGGCTGGTCATGGTGGCTCACACCTGTAATCCCAGCACTTTGGGAGGCCAAGGTAGGTGGATCACCTGAGGTCAGGAGTTCAAGACCAGCCTGGCCAACATGACAAAACCCCATCTCTACTGAAAAATACAAAAATTAGCCAGGCATGGTGGTATGCACCTGTAGTCCCAGCCACTCAGGAGGCTGAAGCAGGAGGATTGCTTGAACCTAGGAGGCAGCGGTTGCAGTGAGCCAAGATCACACCATTGCATTCCAGCCCGGGTGACAGAGCGAGACTCTGTCTCAAGAGGGGAAAAAAAAAGAATTCATACTGTCAAGAAACCTTATAAAAGAAATGTAATCAAGCTCTCATCCTTAGATGTTTAGTTCCAGGAATTAACCAACACTCATAAAGCCTTTCTCAGTTGAGTTTCTGTCACTTATAACTGAAAGAATTCTGGCAATGGAGTATAACACAACTATCAAAAGAATGAGGTAGATTTGTATGTACAGATATAATTTTCTGCAATATATTAAAGGAAAATAGCAACAGCAACTTTCAGAGCGTTATTACATTATGCCTTTTTTGTTGTTTTCAAAAGATATACATTTTTCTATTAATAGTGAGAACTGGAAAAAGAGGAGAATATTCATTTCAACATATATGACTTTAAAACATATATATAGGGTATTTTAAATCACAGAATAAAACAAAATGTTATAAAATTAAATGCTATGCATAAAATTTGCATCAAAGCCCAATTATCAAAATTTATCTCAACTTAATTTCCATAGAAGCCTGTGGAATGTATTTCCTAGAAAGGAATAAGAATAACAAACCACAGCAAACTGAATTACAAAGAAACGTGAGTGATACAGTTCTTATGAGCTCATCAGTGTTTTATATATAACTTTCTTCAATCTGCCTCTGAAAAGCAAAATCCAGAAAATGGTTATTTCACCATCCTTCTATTAATTCCAGAAAAGTGGAGCATATACACTTGAGACCTAATGATCTCTGGGGAGTTTTTAAGAAACTGAGGAAGGGAGATACTTCTAAAGAAGCTAAAATAAAATATTCAAATCAAGGTATAGAATTTTGCCACCTGCCATAAATTCAAGCTCACAATAAGGGTGAACCATAAAGACAGGATACACAGTTAATCAACACAGAAGGCTATCCTTTTTCCACATCAGTATTTTCATCTCAAATAACAAATCCATACCCTTCCAGGGCACTCCCTAGATTCCCTATACTATATCATTTGAAATTTTTAACGCGCCATGATTAAGGCAAAATGTACTACATATAACTTAAAGAAGAACAAAGTAAGCCTGCTTATTATAATGAATTGTGAATTAAAATTAATATAAGCTTAGATTTAAACTAAAATAGATATGAAATCTGAAAAACTTCATGTTATAAAAAGGAACAAGAAAGGTATTAACATTACTGATCTATCTATAAAATCTAAACCAAGACAAAGTAGAAATTCAATTGAAAAACCAATGTGATTTGGGAGGCTGAGGTGGGTGGATCACTTGAGGTCAGGAGTTTGAGACCAATCTGGCCAACATGATGAAACCCCATCTCTACTAAAAAATACAACAACAACAAAAAAGGCTGGTTCAATGGCTCACGACTGTAATCCCAACACTTTGGGAAGCCAAGATAGATGGATCACCTGAGGTCAGGAGTTTAAAAGCAGCCTGACCACATGGTGAAACGTTGTCTCTATTAAAAATACAAAAATTAACCTAGCATGGTGGTGGGTGCCTGTAATCCCAGCTACTTGGGAGGCTGAGGCATGAAAATCGCTTGAACCCAGGAGGCAGAGGTTGCAATGAGCTGAGATCATGCCACTGCACTCCAGCCTGGGTGACAAAGCAAGACTCCATCTCAAAAACAAAATAGGCCAGGCACGGTGGTTCACGACTGTAATCCCAGCACTTTGGGAGGCTGAGGTCAGGAGTTCAAGACCAGCTTGGCCAATATGGTGAAACCCCATCTATACTAAAAGTACAAAAATCAGCCGGGCATGGTGGCAGGCACCTGTAATCCCAGCTACTCAGGAGGCTGAGGCAGGAGAATAACTTGAACCCAGGAGGTGGGGGTTGCAGTGAGCCAAGGTAGCGCCACTGCACTCCACCCTGGGTGACAGAGCAAGGCTCCATCTCAAAAAAAAAAAGGTAATTTTTTGTTTAAGTTGAATAAATGGCTTTTATTTTAAGGTGTCACATCTAGAGGCAAAAATTTTAAAAAAGAATGCAAGATTTTAGTATCAACATTTTGCTGAAACTGATGCAGAAATGAACATTACTTTTTAAACCTCTTTTCAACAAGATTTTTAAAAAGTAAAAATACCTTTCAATGATGAAACAATAAGTCTAACATAAAGCCTACATTTAGTAGCATCAAAAAATACGTATTATTTTTTACTCAAATTTAAGAAACAAACATAACCACACTTAATGGGGAAAATGTAATACTCTTTCTAGCATGAAAACAGATATCAACATACTGTGTGTTCTTCAATGGATCACATGTGCTACACCAACATGATGGCCCATAGTGGATTTGAAAAGATACAACAGGATTCAATTGTGTTATTTCATCACTATAATTTTAATCATTAGGCATATTAATGTCACATACAGTTTTTAAACTATAAATATTTTTAGAAGCTGTGTTTTACAACATGATACCAAGAACACACATCTGATACAGGTTTGTTTTTAAGCTATTGATTATGAACCTCTTGATTTCAAAAATCTCTTATGTGTCAGAACTATAATCAGAATACTGTAACAGTAAGAGAAAAATACTTTTTTGAGACAGGGTCTCGCTCTGTCACCCAGACAGGAATGTGGTGGTGCAATCACAGCTCACTGCAGCCTCAGCCTCCTGAGTAGCTGGGACTACATGCCTGCACCACCACACCTGGCTAATTTTTTTAAATTTATTTTTAGAAGAGATGGGGTCTCACTATGTTGCCCAGGCTGGTCTCGAATGCCTGGGCTCAAGTGATCCTCCTGCCTCACCCTCCCAAAGTGCTGGGGTTACAAGTGTGAGCCACTGCCCAGCCTGAAAGATACCTTCTTTTAATCATTCACAATCAGCAGTAGTGAAAATGCTCTATGTACAATATCAGCTCTGAATAACACATTTCATTTCTGTTTCAAACCACCTGACTATCGCTGTTTTGATGACTGCATAGCTCAACAAAAAAATGCACCCTATTGAGTCTCAATGATACGTATGATTAGGCAGATAACTTCCCAATCATAAAAGCTTTTATTTTAAGACAAATACAGCATGGAAATCCAACACTATAACTGGGATGAAAAGACAGCTCTAAGAAGGCTGTGCATGTGACACCTACTGCATGTTTATGCACTAGTCTTGCATTCCCTTCCTTTCTTCCGCCTCTCTGAAATGCTAAAGGGTAATTACACTAAAAACGGTAATTACCCTTAATATGAGAGAACTATGTGTTTAAGAATGCAAGACTTTCAGATAAGATATCTCCAAATATTTTCTATTTTATATGTGTTTATGATCTTGCCTATAAAGAGGGAGTGTTTTGTGTGCAACACCTGCAAATGGAACTAACTCTACCTTTCACTCAAGCCCAAATAATCAAATATACAATACAGACATAAAGCAAACTACAATGGCAGCAGTGATTCTTAGGGCAGCATGTGTAAAATCGAGTATTTTGCTATCTACTTACATTATGGTGGTCAGAAAAGAAATGTTCCAAAACTACCTTTCCCATTCCACTTGAACTGGTTCCCCACAATCCCAACAAACATCTCCTGTGACATTAAGTTGTCATCAGCCTGTGTGATCCCCAGTTCACTCAACCTTTTACTTCTTCATCTGGTCTTTTTGTGTGGAGGCAGCAATACATTTTACAATTTCCCTCAACTTGCTCAGAAGGGTCAGTTCTTGCATAAAGCTCCATTTTGCCAGTTGCACACTGAATCAGCTCTTCTAGATCCACTCTTTCAGCCACATCTGGCTCTCCACTTGCCTGAATTTTAAGTGCTTTATCTTCTGGAGAAACAAACAAATAATAACAAAGTTAAATATATAAGCTAACCCAACTAAAACATGTATTTCTACACAGTCTGTTAAAGCTTTCAAGTTTTTTGGCAAAGGATTTCTGCTGTCCTCTAACTGGGCTTTACAAATTCGTTGCCATAAGAATCTCAATGAACAGCTGCCTTGCTTTCTATGTCAAGGTTCCCTGACCCTCATGCAGGATCATCAATTTTGAACTCTTTGTTTACCCTTTTCGTCCCAGAATCACTTTTACTCAACAGACATTTCCTGGTTATTTACCATCTGCTAAGCACTGTGTTAGGAGCTAGGATGCACAGACTGATAAGACAGTGCAACTTTTCTAAATGAAGTCCCAATCTAGTAGCTAATTCTAGATAGTCCCCATGATCACCACCCCCTGGTATTAACTTTATTGGCTATTAAATGGCAGAAGAATTTTGCACTGTAATTTTACAACGTAATTAAGGTTGCTAATTAGTTTTCTCCAGCTGGTTGCAAAAGAGGAAGTCAGAGAAATTCAAAGCATGAGAGATTTGCCTTGAGGGAGGTTCTCTGTTGCTGAGATGGGGGGCTATGAGGCAAGAACCTGAGAGCAGCCTCTAGGAGCTGAGTGCCAGCCCCAGCCAGCAGCCAGCAGCCAGCAAGAAAGGAGACCTCAGACCCAGGAGCTAAAGGAATGAATTCTGCCAATGAATGACATGAATGCATTTGGAGGCAGATTCTGCCCCCAGAGCTTTCAGATGAGACCTGCCCAGCTGACACCTTGATTTCACTTTTGTGAGACCTGTGAAGAAACAGAGACCTTGCAGAGATATAACCGGAGCGAATCCTGAAGAATGACAAGGACTAACTTTTACATTCCTCTTTTAACCTGAAAAAGCCAATTAAATAAATAAACTGCTTTAAACTTTCCTCACCTACGTCAATGCTTAATCTTCCACTATGACTGAGACTTAATAGTGATCCACCTCATAGCTTGAAGTTCACACATTTCCACTGAGTTAGCTCCGCTTTGCTGCCAAGAAAGGCAGGTGACAGGAAGACATTTACTTCTACCAATAAAAACAGAGGTAAACTCCACCATCCCCTCCAGGAAACGCAGCTTTCAACCTGGCACGTTCATTTCATTGCCTCCAGCCTTAACAAATGCCAGCAGGGGCCACTATTGCTATCACACACCCACTGTTGCTGTCACACACCCACCATAGCGTCGCGCACCCATTGTTGCTATCACACACCCATAGCTCCTATCACACATCCACCCTCATTGAAGGCTAAGCATGATAAGAAGGAAACTGCACAGAAGACACAACATCAAGATTTTGAATGACAATTGAACTAGTTGACCTTGAAAGTTTCTTTCACATTCTATAATGTTATGGCTTTATGAAGCTTCTCTCTCTCTCCACTCCGAAGCATATCCCCAATAATCTTTTTTACAGAAGAGAGGAAGACTCAGAGACTTAATTAGCATTTAATGCTGAAATAAAGTAAATTATGTTTTTATATTAAAAATTACTATCAATGCAGTGGTAAAGGAGTAAAAAAAAGAAAGAAGGAAAGAAAAATTACTAAATATAGCATACCTTCTGTTCCATCTTCAGCATTTTCTTGCAGATCAGAGAAGATTGTAGGTTTTGCCAAGACACCACCATAACCTTCATTATTATGTATTATATTATTCACCATGGATATTTTGGGAATGTCATAATGTTCATCTAAGAAGTCCTGTGACATTGAAAAGAAATGTTTTAAGAAACTGTCATACTCAACATTTCCTGCTTTAAAAATCTTTATTCACACTACTCTAAAAATAAAGCTATGCTTAGCCCCATGTTGTGAGCAGTCTGAGTCCTTAGTGACAGAGCTTTCCTCTGTCATTTCTACAGATCTATGGGTAACAAAGAATTCTCACAAGAGATTGCAATCACTGACATATTATTGCAATGTATATACTGTTTATGCTTTTCAAAACCAGATAATAGAACCCAACAATTTAATAAAGTATAATTTGTAGGTGAAGCCATTCTGTCCTTTGAAAAACGGGTGTTTTGGCCGATGCTCACCTTAATGAGGATCCCTTCCTTGCAGTGATGGATCCCATTGTCACTCAGGATGCACTGACTCCCAGGGTAGATTTCTACACCAGCACCCTGTGAGTTACAGTTTGAGATAATGCCAATCAGTTTTTAAAAGGCAAGACTAAAAAAGTTTATTACAATTACTTCTTAGCTTTCAACACAGTGCAAAAGTACAGCAAAAAGATAAAGTATTTTACAGATAAGTTTTATCAGGCATTTTTAATCAACATTTCCATTTGTTCCATCTCTAGCAAGCTGTTAACAATTTATCACTTTCAAAACCACACACACACACACACACACACACACACACACACAGGCTAAGAGTGTCAACACCTGATTCTTGTTCTACTGTCTTTTATTCTAGATGTTTTCTGATTTTGCCAACAAAAAAAATCATTTAAGAATTCTGTTGAAAGACACACTTATTCAAAATGACCATCTCTCAGACACTCAATTAGTTGGAGAAAAGTACTTGAATTTAGTAAAATATTGTAATTTGTGGATAGAAACAAGACCCTACATTTTCCAAAATGTGCCAGTTTTAAAATACCTCAACCCAACTTAAAAATCACTTCTATGAGTTACACAATGGCCTCCTCCACCACACACGTTAACATAAGCAGCCAGTTCACGTGTCGTTTAAACAGTGTAACCAGAAAGATCAAACATGACCCTATTCTCTCACACCTCATGGCATCAAAAAACGTAACAGTAATAAGAATTTATTTCCTAATGCTTATGCAAGGAACTTTGGAAAACAAAAGTAATTCACTCAAACCTCTATAGTTATTTCAGCAACCATTTGGGAATAATTTAACACACAACAGCATCAATGAAGAAGAGCTGCTATAACCACTGATGACACATCTACTGCATGTATGTTCAGTTACTTTTCTAGTACTAGTATTCCATGAGAAAACATTTATTATTACCTAACCCTGGACATATGCCTGAGCCATATGTACACACCAATCTAACTCTTCGGTAGAGGTTTTTTTTTGTTTTTGTTTTTTATTGAAATGAGAAAAATTAAGTGTAACATATATTTGGGACTGTTCATGGTTTATGCTTGTCATAGAGTTAATTTTAACAAATTTTTTTGTAAGCAAAAAATCTTTTTTTTTATTGTACTTGGGCTCTGGGGTACATGTGCACGTCCTGCACCCTGCAGGATTGTTGCATAGATACATACATGCCATGGTGGTTTGCTGTCTCCATCCCACCCCCACTGTTGCCTAAATCAGGCATTTCTCCAGGTGTTATCCCTCCCCCTCCTCCCCGCCCCTGCCTCGACATTTTTCAAAATGTGCTAATTGGGCCCTCTTCTAAGAGATTTTCAGTTGCAGTTGTGTGCAAAAAGGATTTAAGGGTGATTACATTAAAAATACCTATAGCAAGATAGTTAAAATTAAATATCAAACTATCAGGAAACATATAAAATTTGCAAAGGTGAACAATTTAAACCAGCAGTCAGGTAGCAAATAAAAGTCATATTCGGCCAGGCACGGTGGCTCACGCCTGTAAACCCAGCACTTTGGGAGGCCAAGGCAGGAGGATCGTTTTAGGTTAGGAGTTCAAGACTAGCCTGGCCAACATGGTGAAACCCCATCTCTACGAAAAATACAAAAATTGGCCAGGCATGGTGGCACGCGCCTGTAGTCCTTGCTACTCGGGAGGCTGAGGCAGGAGAATTGCTTGAAACCAGGAGGCAGAGGCTGCAGCGAGCTGAGATCGCACCACTGCACTCCAGCCTGGGCAACAAAATGAGACTCAGTCTCAAAAAAAGAAAGCGGTATTCAAAATATATTATGAAAATGAACAACAATTTGGCAATTAAAAAGTAACTGAGGAGCCTGCCACTTCTGGGATGATAGAGTAGATGTCCCTGTTTCGTCTATTAGGCATGACCAACAACCACGGGCATTATATATAAAACAAGCATAAGACCGATAAGTGGAGAGAAGACGTCAGACCAACGAGGGACTTCAGGACCCAAAAAACACCAACACAGTGGTACATTCCTTTCTTTTTGCTTCATAATCCCTAGACTTGGAACTGAAGAAGCCAGCAGTCCAGTTCAGCAACAGACCACACCAAAAAGAGCTGCTCTTACAAAAGGACTAGGCAACCTAGAAAGACAGAAAACTTTTTGACAATAATAGCTCTAATCCAGGTAAATGCCACAGAATAAAACAGCAGCTCCAATCTCACCTATGCCAGCAAAGGTCAAGAGAAGAACCTAGACTTCCCCCCCGCTCAAGGATGTAACCAGGTACCCCAGCACCTCGACTGGGGCAGTACCAGAGAAGACCAAGCAAGGAGCCAGGATTTGCATTCCCAACCACCAGTTGCAAGGCCCTCCCTGCAGCAGTGTTAGTGAAGACTATATGAGGAGCCTGGATTTGTACCCCCACCTGGCAGTATCAAGACAACCACTCCCTCCCTACTGGGGCAGTGTCAGAGCAGGCCTAGTGGAGATTCTACACTTTCACCAGTGCCCAGTGGTAACAAGACCACTCCATACATCACAGTGTCAGTGGAGACCATGTAGGAAACTAGGCCTCCCACCCCTACATAGCAGTAACAAGGAGCTCTCCCAACTAACTTGGGTATGAATGGAAGCCAAGTGACAACCATCACTTCTACCTCCACCAGTAACAAGATGATGCCCAGCTACTACCAACACTGTCCCTTCCTGTAGAAGTATCAGAGAAGCCCAATTAAAACAAAAGATTCAGATTCTTGTAACACAAAAATATCTAACTTTCATTTGAAAATCCCTTGTCATACCAAGAATCAGGAAGATGTCAAAATAAATAAGATAATCAACAGATGCCAAAACCAAGATGTCAGAGATGATAGAATTAATGGACAGTGATTTTAAAGCAGCCATGATAAAAATGCTTCAATAAGCAATTATGAATGTACTTAAATGAAAAATGAAAGCCTCACCAAAGAAGTAGATGATATAAAAAACCAAGTAGAAATATTAGAACTGAAAAATACAATAACTAAAATAGAAAGCTCAGTGGATGGGCTCAACAGCAGAATGAAAACAGCAGAGGAAAGAATCAGGGAACTAACTGGAAGATAGAACAATAAAATGTACCCAATAGCAGAGAAAACATACTGAAAAAGAAAAGAGAACAGAGCTCCAGGGATCTGCTGGACTATAACAAAAGATCCAATATTCATGTCATCAGAGTCCTGAAAGAGAAGAGATAGAGAGTGTGGCTAAAAACATACTTGAAGAAATAATGACTAAAATCTCCCAAATTTGGCAGGATTTGGATAACAAGCCTACAGGTTCAAGTAGCTGAGCAAACCCCAAACAAAATAAACTCAAAGAAGTCCATGCCAAAATATATCATAATCAAACTAGTATAAGCTAAAAACAAAAATATTGAAAGCATCAATGAAAATTTCATGCCTTACCTATAGGAAAGAAAATGTGATTGACAGCATCAGAAATCATTGATGCCAGATGAAAGAGACACAATATTGTTCAAGGGCTAAAAGAAAAAAACCGTCAATCCAGAATCCTAAACCCAGTGAAAACAGTCTCCAGGAATGTAGAGGAAATCAAGATATTCTAAGATGATGGGAAACTAAGAAGATTTGTCACCAGCAGACCTACCTCATAGAGTGACTAAAGGAAGTTATCTAAATAAAAACAAAATGATAAAAGAGAGGATCTTGGAACAGCAAAAACGAAAAAAAAACAAACAAACACAGTAAGCAAAGATATGGGTAAATACAATAAGCTTTCCTTTTCAAGTTTGCTAAATTATGTTTGACATTTGAAACAAATATAATATTGTCTGATGTGGTTCTAGATGTATGTAGGTAAAGAAAATACTTAAGATAATTATCAAAAGGAAATGGTGGGCTGAGCACAGTGGCTCACGCCTGTAATTCCAGCACTTTGGTAGGCAGAGGCGGATGGATCACGAGGTCAGGAGCTCAAGACTAGCCTGGCCAAGATGGTGAAGCCTCATCTCTACTAAAAATACAAAACTTAGCTGGGCATGGTGGTGGGCGCCTGTAATCCCAACTACTTGGGAGGCTGAGGAAGAGAATTGCTTGAACCTGGGAGACAGAG